AACATAAATTTCTTAGCATGAAATGGATGGTATGAATTTTCATGATGTTAACTTAGCTGTGGTTTCTTAACATACAACACCTAAAGCACAAGTGACAAAAGAGAAAGGTATAAATTTCAAATCTTTATTCTTTAAATTTTCATTTAAATAAATTTTAAATTTATTCAATTCTTTTCTTTTGAAGACTATAATGCATATCATAATATAACCTACAGAATGGAAGAAAAAAGTTGCAAATTAACAATCCGATATGCAACTTTTGTTCAAAATATGCAAAGCACTGTCACAAGTGAACAGTAAAAGGAACAGTAAAGGTTTTAGTTGTCCCAGGTAAACAGACAAGATAGTTGAGTAGACTTTTGTTCAGTGAAGATCTAGAAATGGCCAACTGGCATATGAAAAAAGCAAAAGATGCTCACCATCAATAGTCATTAAGTAATATAAAACAAAACCACAGTGAGGTACCACTTCAATCCCACTAGGATTTTGAGTGTTGAAAAGATGAGTAATAACAACTATTAATAAGGATGAGGAGAAATTGGAATCCTCATACATTTCTTTTAATAACATAAAATGGTGTGGGTGATTTGGAAATAAATTTGGCCTTTCCTTCAAAGAATTAACCATAGAGTTACTACATGATCCAGCAGTTTCATGCCCAGCGTATATATCCCAGGAACTAAAAACATGTGTCCACACAAAAACTTGTACTCAAATATTTATGGTTGAATTATTCATAATAGGCAACAAATAGAAACAATGCTAATGTCCATCAGTTGATTTCCAGTCAACAAGTGTGATAGCTATACAGTGGTGTTTTTCTTGGCAATACAATGGAATGAAGAGTTAATACTGAGTGCAACATCGATGGACCTTGAAAGCATTATGCTGTATCAAAGAAGCCAGACATAAAGGTCACATATTTTGTTTCCATTAACATTTATATGAAATGTCCAGAGTAGGCAAATCTGTAGATACATGAAGTGCATTAGTGGTTTATCTGGATGTGGGAGACAGTGGAAATGGGGATTGATGCTAATGGGCTTGGGGTTTCTTGTGGTTTGATGAAATTGTTTTGGAACTAGATAATGGTGATAAGTGCAAAACTTTTGAGTACACTGAAATCCACTGAGTTGTATACTTTAAAGTGGTATATTTTATATCTCCATTTAAAAATTTATGTGACCTTTTAGACAAAGGTTACTTTGAGACATCCATAATGTTGTCAAATTTGTGTAATTTCTTTCCTCATGGATGATGATGGCATACTCATTTTAAAAGTCTAGATTTCCCCTATCTGCTATCCACATTGACTTCTTCAGATAGTATATGATGATCTTTTGAGGGAGTATTTAGTAAGCTGATCATTGGTTACCTCTATCTAGAGAGCTATTGGCAGTGTATAGTGGCAAGACCTTAGCTCTGGCAACCAGACAGGTCTGTATTTGAAGCCCAACTCTGCCATTTGCTTCTTAAACCAATCGCTTAGCCTCTCAGAGCTTTGGTTTTCTCCCCCTTCAATTTTTTTTCTCATTTACTTGTTCAGAGTAGGGTATTTACCTTCTCTGTGATATGGTTGTACTTTGAATGAATTGGCAATGTTTGCAAAAGTTACCTCCCTGGGTGTATGTAATAACTTAATCCTCAGAAGAAAGAAATGTCATTGTCTTGTGTCCTGTTTTGACCCTGAAATGAACTTCCTCGAGACTGCATGCTGGACTGTTCAGTTTTCTCCAGAAGGGATCGATATTTGCTTAAGAATATTAGACACATTTGTTTTGCCAGGCTTTCAATGTATTTTAGTTGACATTAGAGTCAAAGGCTTAATGCTCCACTAAACGAAAGACTTCAACAGATAACATGTAAATTCTTTCCTCAGGTACCTTAGGAGAAACAAAACTAGAATGTTGGGAGTTGGATTTAGGGTTAATGTTAAAGAAAGTGTTTTTAATTGATAACATCCTGAAAGCAGGGAATAGTTTGCCTCTGGAGAGAGTACATACTGAGAGAGAGGTCTTCCATCCACTGGTTCACTCCCCAAGTGGCAACAACAGCCAGGGCTGGGCCAGACCGAAGCCAGGAGCCTGGAGCTTCTTCCAAGTCTCCAGTGTGAGTGCAGAGGCCCAGCACTTGGGCCATCCTCTGCTGCTTTCCCAGGCATACTATCAGGGAGCTGTTATCAGAAGTGCAGCAGCTAGGACTCAAACTGGTGCCCATATGGGATGCTAGTGCTGCAGGTGGCAGCTTAACCCACCATGCCACAGCACCGGTGCCAAGGCTTTCAGTTTTAGCACTGGAATCGTCCTGGGTACACCAAGACAAGTTGATTACCAACTTGGGTGACTGCTACTGGGGGATGTTCCCCAGGGCTTGAAGGATACACGAAGGGGTGAATGAGATGATATGATTCACCTCAGTTCCTGTAGAACAAGGTGTGTACCTGTTGTTTCTGTTTGGGGACCTAATGTCCAAATTCTAATAAAGTTGGGCCAGGAATATGATGGGAAGTGGAGCAGCTGGGACTGAACTAGTGCCCATATGGGATGCTGGTCTAGAGGTGGTGGTTTAACCCGCTGAGCCACAGTGGCAGCCTCTAGAGGTTTGGAACTTTTAGCCCCACCCTCCAACTACCAGGGAGGACAGAGGGACTGAAAATCTACTCAGTCATCAGTGTTCAATAATGTAATTGATCATACTTACACAGTGTAGCCCCTGTTAGAAACACTAAGCAGTAGTCTTCAGAGAGCTTCCAGGGTGGTGAACGCATGGAGGTATTCGCAGATTGCCAACCCAAGGAGGGCATGGAAGCTATGCACTGCTTCCTATGTACTTGTCCTATGTATCATTTCCACATGGCTATTCTTGAGTTTTATCCTTCATAATAAACTGGTAATAGCAAGTAAAGTGTTTTCCTGAGTTCTGTGAGCCATTCCAGAAAACTACCAAACTTGAGGATTGGGTCATGGAAGTGCCCAGATTATAGGCTGTTGGTCATAATTATGTTACAACCTAAGATTCCTGACTGGAGTTTTAACTGAAAGGGCAGTGCTATAGTACCTATTCGGGTTGTCACTGTGTAGTTAGTGTCATGTGTCATTATTTTATTTTTAAAATTCATGTAAATAGAACAGATTTCAAGTATTTCACATGTACAATTTTAAAATATAATGATACTTCCCACCCTCCCTCTCTCCCTCCTCCTTCCTTTTTTTTCTTTTAATTTTTACTATAACATACTTTCAATTTACTTTGTAATCATAGGCTTAATCCTCCACTAAATAAATAATTAAACAAGCAGAAAGTAGAAAGACCACTGTTCTGCAAGAATATAGACAAGGGCTACAAACAGTAATCAAATGTCAAGATGTCAATTTCACTCATACATTTTATACTCTGTATATTAGTTACCACAAATTAGAGAAAACATATGATGTTTGTCTTTTTATGTCAGTCTTATTTCACTAAGCACAATGGTCTCCATTTGTATCCATTCTTGTTTGTTTTCGCAAAAGATGATATTTCATTTTTTTTGTGGCTGAATAGTTTTTCATCGTGTGTGTGTATATATATATATATATCACATTTTGTGTATATATATATCACATTTTGTGTGTATATATATCACATGTTGTATATCTATACACATTTTGTGTATATATATCACATTTTGTGTATATATATCACATATATATTATATATATACACACACACACCACATTTTCTTAATGAACGTCTGGGTTGATTGATTACTTAGCTGTTATGAACTGAGCTATAAACATGGAGGTGCAGATAACTCTTTCATATGCTGATTTCATTTCCTTTGGATAAGTTCTCAGGAGTGGGATGGTTGGGTCATATGGTAGATCAATTTTCATATTTCTGAGGAATCTCCATACTCCTTTATAATGGTTTTACTAGTTTACATCCCATCAACAGTGTATTAGGGTATCTTTTCCCCCACATCCTCAGCAAAATTTGTTATTTGTTATTTTGGATGATAGGCATTCTAACTGGTGTGGGGTAGGAAGACCTCATCGTTTCCCTGAAGGCTAATGATTCTGAACCTTTTTTTCCACGTATCGATTTCCCATTTGTATTTCATCCTTAGAAAAATGCTTGTTCATGTCCTTTGCCCATTTCTTAACAGGATTGTTTGTTTTTGAGCTCCTTAGAAATCCCAGAGTTTTATGTGTATATAGAAAGGCAGTTGAATATTTTCCTTTTACAGGTTAATGTGCGTTTAAGTGGTCTGGGGAGGAGTGTGGTGCTGGTATTTTTTTAAAGCTCCCCAAATGGTTCTAATGTGTAGCTAGAATTGAGAATCACTGTCTTATGCTCAACAAGGAATGAAACTAGGATTTCTGAATGATTACCATTTGTATTAGGTACATGTATTACCTTACTTAGCCATTACAGGAACCTGTGAAACAGTAATTGTTTTTAAAAAGTTAAGGAAAGTGGGTCTCAAGTGACTGAGAAACTCGCCTGAGGTCAAATGTGATTTTTTTTCCTAAAAAGAAAATGATATAGCATTTTACAAAACCTGCTGACAGCCCACTGTTTCATTCTCTCTCCATAGCCACTCTGAAATAGCAATTATTAATATTCTCATTTTATGATGAAGGGAATTAAGTCACAGATCAGCTAACTTGAGAGAACTATTTGTCTAGGCTGGTGAACTTTACATAGCAAATCCATTGCCCCGCCTTAATCTTTTTGCTTATCTATAAAATGAGAGAAGTCTTGGTTACTCCTAAGGGTGTCTGTGAAGATTAATTAAAATGTTAGCTATGGAAGAGCTCTTGAGTAGGGTATTGACATAGAGGAAAGAAAAGAAACACTCAGACACTGAATGCATTTTCCTGTGGGCTTAGATTTATTGCCTTCCTCTGGTGACCATGTGGACATGGTACTAGTCCTTACTTATATTGCACTGATCTTTGTCCACTTAGCAATCAAGCACAATGACTAATTTGTTTTATTTTTTGTTCTCTTTCCAGCTGAATCTTTCAAGGAATTTGCTGAATTACTCAATGAAGTAGAAAATGAGAGGATGATGATGGTAGGTCACTAACATTTGGGCCTTGAAGCCAAGACAATGACAATAATAGGGATTTTTCCTTATCTTTTTTGACTGGATTGATACTCTGCTGTTTTAGCTTCTTTCTCATGGCTTCCTCATGCTATAAAAATAGGTAAGGGCTGGTGTTCTGGTGCAGCAGGTTAAGCTACTGCTTGTGATGTTGGCATCCCATATCAAAGCACCAGTTTGAATCCCAACTGCTCTACTTTCTATCCAGTTCCCTGCTGATGTGCCTGAGAAAGCAGTGGAAAATGGCTTATGTGCTTGGACTCTTGCCACCCACATGGGGAACCTGGATGAAATTCCAGGCTTCTGGCTTCAACTTGGCCATTGTAGCCATTTGGGGATGAACCAGTAGATGGAAGATATTCATATTCATTCTCTCTCTCTCTCTCTCTCTCTCTCTCTCCCACCATTCTAAGTCTCCCATTTAAATAAATAAATATATCTTTAAAATTAGTTATGTAATAGGTTTGCTTATTCTGTATCAATCTCTCACCCTGAGAGTTTGGCATTAGGTTAAGAGAAATTAGTATGAAATATCAGCTCTGTTGATTTAAGTGAGAAAAGACTTCAGAGAATATTAAACTGGGCAATTGAACATGGTGGCAAAGTTGTGGTCTTTAGTGTGCTTAAACCAAATTATTTTCATAAATCTGTTTCTCTGCTATCAGAAATAATGATATGAGCTTTATTTATGTTTGACAAGTGATGGTTTAATTGAAATTTAAATGAAAAAAAGTTCTTCTTACTTTTGAAGTCTACTTTTTATGAACTCTAATATTATATTTAAATTGTTTATATATTTTAAGAATCTTATTTACTTATTTTACTAGTTTAAAGGGAGAGAAAGAGAGAGAGAGAATGAATGTCAATATGAATATGAGAACATGGACACTCCCATCTGCTGGTTTACTTTTTAAATGTCTACAACAGCTGGGGCTGGGGTCAGGCTGAAGCTAGGAGCTGAAAAATCAATCCAGGTATTCCATGTGTGTAGCAGGGACCCAAGTATGTGAGACATCACCTGCTCTCACCCAGGGTGCCCAATAACAAGAAGCTGGAATTGGAATGGAGCTGGGACTTTAACCTAGGTACTCCAGTGTGGGATGTGTCTTAAGTATTGGGCCAAACACCTGCCCCAACAGACTTTAATTTGAAAGCAATTTCAGTTTTAAAGAAAAATTGAGTGGAAGGTGCAGAGAGGGCTCATATTCACCCCATTTCTCACACGGCTTTATCTTTTTACATTTTCCACTATGGTCATCTTGTGTTAATGTGGTATGAACAGACTTGAAGAAATTCATGGAAAATGGAATTATAAGATTTTATTTTGGTACAAAACAATTTTGAAATCCATAGGGGATTCTCCACATCCCCCACATTGTGGCAGGGACCCAAGCACTCCATAGTCATCTTATATTTTCCTGGGCATATTAGCAAGGAACTAGATTTTTTTCATACTATGAATCTGCATTTGCTTTTTGAGGATCTCTTATATGCATGGATTTGAGATTTTTTTGTAAAAAACATATTTTTAATGTTTCCCACAAACTTTTTAAAGTACCCTCATATTTGTTACAATATTATGAGCCATTGATTTTTTTTTTTGCTGTGTTTTGTTTGAGTCTTCTAGAATATCATATATGTAGTACAAATCATATGGTAAGGAGCCATCTCAGGCTTCTTTGACTTAGCAATATGTGTTTCAGCTTCCTGTATGTATTTTTATGACCTGATAATGCATTTGTTCTCATCATTAAGTAAATGTTCCATGATTGGATGTATCATGGTTTATCCATTCATCCACTGAAGGGTATCTTGGTGACTTTCAAGTTTTAGAAGTTATGAATTAAGCATTCTTATGTAGGTTTTTATGTGAACCTATGTTTTCAACTTATTTGGGTAAAAATAAAGGCATGCAATTGCTGGGTCATATTGTAAGCATGTGTTTAGTTTGGACCATTTCACAATTCCACCAGCAGTGAATGGGAATTTTAGTAATTTCATATCCTTGTCAGCACTTGATGTTGTCAGTATTCTGGATTTTGACCATTCTGATATATATTTGTAGTGGTATCTCATTATTGTTTTAATTTTCATTTTCCTGATAATATGTGATGTGGAACATCTTTTCATATGTAAAATTGCCATCTCTATATTCTCTGATGATGTGTCTGCAAATATTTTGCCTATTTTTAAATTGGCTGTTTTCTTATTGTTGATTTTTCAGAGTTCTTTGTATATTTATCTGCCAATTCTTTATTAGATATGTGTTTTTTTTTTTTTTTTTTGACAGGCAGAGTGGACAGTGAGAGAGAGAGACAGAGAGAAAGGTCTTCCTTTTTGCCGTTAGTTCACCCTCCAATGGCCGACGCGGCCGACGCACCGCACTGATCTGATGGCAGGAGCCAGGTGCTTCTCCTGGTCTCCCATGGGGTGCAGGGCCCAAGCACTTGCGCCATCCTCCACTGCACTCCCTGGCCACAGCAGAGAGCTGGCCTGGAAGAGGGGCAACCGGGATAGAATCCGGCGCCCCAACCGGGACTAGAACCTGGTGTGCTGGCGCCGCAGGCGGAGGATTAGCTTAGTGAGCCGTGGCGCCGGCCATAGATATGTGTTTTTCAAATATTTTCTCCCAATCCTTGATTTGTCATTTCATTTTCTTAACAGTTGCATATGCAGAGAACAAGTTTTTAACTTTGAAGATGTCTATAGACATTTTTTTTTGTGGATTATGCTTTGATGTTTAATCTAAAAAGTCATTGCCAAACTCAAGAACACATAGAGTTTCTCCTGTGTTATCTTCTAGGATTTTTATGGTTTTGTGTTTTACATTTAGATCTATGATCTATTTTGAGATAATTTTTGTGAAGAGTATAAAGTCTGCGTTTAGATTAGTTTATTTTTAATGTGAATTTTCAGTTGTTCTCATACCATTTGTCTTTCTCCATTGAATTATGTTTTCTCTTTTATCAAAAACCAGTTGACTATATTCGTGTGCATCTATATCTGAGTGCTCTATTTGTGTCCTTTTGATACATTTTATCTTCTCTTTCACCAATACCACACTGTCTTGATTACTGTAGGTTGGCAGTAAGTCTTGAAATCAGTTGTAAACTTTATACACTCAGTTTGTCAGTATTCACAAAGTAACTTGCTAGGGTTTTGATTAGGATTATACTAATTGTAGATTAAGTTGGGGGAAAACTGACATCTTTTTAAAAAAGATGTATTTATTTGATAGGTAGAGTTATAGACAGACACAGGGAGAGATTGAGAAAGAGGTATCTTCCATTCACTGGTTCACTCCCCAGATGGCTGGAGCTGGGCCCATCTGAAGCAAAGATCCAGGAACTTCTTTCAAGTCTCCCACATGGGTGCAGGGGCCCAATCACTTGAGCCATCTTCTATTGCTTTCACAGGCCATAAGCAGAGAGCTAGATTGGAAGAGGAGAAGCTGGGATATGAACCGGCATCCATATGGGATGCCAGTGCCACAGGTGGAGACTTAGCCTACTATGCCACAGTGCTAGCCCTGAGAACTGACATCTTAAAAATGCCAGTTCTTCCTATACATGAACATGGTTCATCTCTGTTAATTTAGCTCTTTTTTTATTTCTTTCATCAGAGTTTTATAGTTTCCTCATGTAGACATTTAACACATTTTGTTGGATTTGTACCTAAGTATTTCATTTTTGTGAAGTTTATTTTAGCAATTTGAAACAATCTTTGTGTGTAGTCCCTAGACCAATAGTATTAGTATAATCTGGAAAATTGTTAGGCATTCAGATCCCACCTCAGACCTGTTAGAGTAACTTAAATTTGGAACTATCCAGGGTGAACGTCATTTATTTTTATTAGGGGCCTAGGGGTAAGGTGAGACTATAGAGCTGAGCAAAATGGTCTACCTTCCTGTCATAGTATGACTTTCTATTGACATCTCAGTATTCCAATAGCAGGACTTCTTTTATCTGCAATCCTGCTTCCTTTTCAATAGTATGACAATGGATTTTCAGAACATTGCTTGTGTTTTATTTAGGCTCTTAGAGAAGTAGGATTGGAGGCAGGCTGAAATAGAGGGATTAGAGAGTTAGGTTCTGATTCTGGCTCTGCCACCAACTTATTTATTGAATTCAGACTAATCATTGTATTTTTTTGTGGGGCTCTTATGTGTAAAGCAAGGAAAATAATCTCCAACTCTTGTGGTAATGATAAGTACTCCAAATGATATAACGAATGTGGAAGCGCTTAATAAAAAGATAAAAAAAAAGATTATGTAAGTGTTGTTTTTAGTTATCTTTTGTTATTCACAAGATTCTGCTTGTGGAAATGTGACTTGGGGATTTTCTTAGATTTGCTTCTAAAGATCCTCAGGAGAAACCAATAGTAGTGGGAGCTTGTAGATGGGTCAAGGGCTAATCTACAGAGTACTAAATGTTCTCCTCTGCCTAAAGTGTTTGTGGAATGCTGCCCATGTCATTTTCAAAGGCATTCACCCTCATTTCATTCAGATACCACTAGAAAAAGCTCAGCCATACTTCTATTCAGCCCTATTTTTTCTTGATCACTTTTTTTTGCCCAGTGACAAAGCTCTAAAATATTGAAGTGTAGGATTCATTTTTTGCGATGTTGTTTTTCTCACCCTTCTTGGTGGCTCTTTGCCCCATGACTAATTCATTTTTTTTTCTGTCCAATTATGTCATGTCCTTTTGTCCCCAGAACTCTTAAATCATGTATTGAGTGTTTGCTCTCATTTCCCTCTTAATTCCAGGAATGCTATGAAGGTTAGGCTTAATGAGAGCCTTTCACACCATGCCAGGAATTCATTGCTTGATTGAACCTCTCTTATTTACTGGGGCAATGCGAAAGCACTCCTCTGCCTGAATCTGGATAATTTTGGGGGTGTTACAGTTTCTCATCCTTTCTAAAAGAGCAGTCCAAAGTAAGTTTTAGGAAGTTCACAGAATGTGGCAATTGGCAGTGTCCAGTTGTCTCCATAAGTGAATATAAATTGTGGCAGTTAACTGTGGAGGGACGAAATGAAGATGAGCATTCCAGGTGTCGTGTTCTTAAAAGTACTCTGGGGAAAGTTGTAGTATCTCAAAGAAGTGCCTTTAAAATGCTGGATTTCAGTCTTCCTGTATGATTAGGAAACTTGCCTAGATGCCTTTCTACTGCTGAAGGAGGCCCTGTAGGCAATACACAAGGTCTGTCTGTGAGGACTGCCAAAACTGACCTAAAGAGACATGGAATATTTCAGCCAGTGTATGCTCAATGCAGTCTTTTGATAATTTGTTAACTATCAAAAGATTCCTGAGTAAGTCTACAGTACCAGACTGAATACAATCTCTATTCTGCTAAATATTTTAATAACTATTAATTTGGGTTTTGTTCAATAGGTACATGATTTGATAAGTCCACTAGTGTGTTTAGTATGTTGCTTTTTCTGGTAAGGATTCTACCCTGAGATAAGAGGTAGGAGTTTTTATCCAGAGAGCTCATAAAATGGATGCAGTGATCAGAAAGGAGATTGAATGCCAAGGTTGTTTTTTTTTTTTTTTTTTTGAGTAGTTGCTTGACTTTTAAGGAGTTTAAGGACAAATTAGAATGAGACAGAAAACAGTCAAGTTTCAATGTTGTGTCTTTACCTACACTGTTAATGCTATGTTATCACTGAAAGTAGTATGTAAAATAGCTAGAGTGTCAAAGCGAGGAACATTTTCAGAGTAAATATTTGTAGCATAAACGACTAGAAGCTGTCTTGCCAATATGACTAAGGAAAAACTATGAACTCCAATTTCTATAAATAATGTCCTACTTTCTTAGACTGAGCTAGAGCCAAACATGTAAAAGAAATTGGCCTTATGCATCATGTATGAGAAGTTGCTGGTATTCCTGCTTATGAAGGACCAGCCCCTTCTGAACATGAAAACTTAGCAACTGTTTTAGTTTGGGGATGCCTGAATATGCAAGGGTCCCGTTGTGTAACCATATGGAGTCTTGGCTCGGTATGTGCCATTCTCTTTAGAAGTGCATGTTCACATCTTATTGAAAGACAGACTTCCTCACTGTTTCAGAGACGGTCACTTTTCATTTGTTACCTTTGTGAAATTAGAAATAGTTTTTCTCTTCATGAATTGCTGTATAACAACTTATTCTAAAACTTGGTAGATTAAACTAATTATATCTCATTAGTTTGTGGGTCAGAAAGCTACTCAAGGGTCAACTGGATGATACTTCTTCTCCCCGTCTTGGTGGTATTCAGCTGGTAGATGGCTTTATATTGAAGGTGCAAAATGGATTTCCTCACTTTTCTGGCTGGGTTAAGCTTGTATGAGACAATGAGCAGAATTACTTCATTTGGCATCTTTGTTTTCTAACTTATAACATGTCATCTCAGGGCTTTCAGAGGGAATGTCCCAGGAGAACAAGGTGGAAGCTTCTGGCCTTGTATTATTTAGCCTCAGAAGTCTTATAGTATCACTTCTACTATAGTCTATTGGTTTAAAACAGTAATAAGCTTAGTCATATTCAAGGTGGAGGGGTCATAGACCTTACCTCTCAATGTAAATTAGGTCAGAGACTTTCCAGCCGTGTTTGAAGACTTCCACAATATTAAAGAAGAAAAATGACTCCCTGTATTGGGTCTGTGACGCCAGTGATTTGTTCCTAATGTAAGTACACGAAGCTGATTGAACAGAATCAGTCATTCCAGGCAGTGTAGAATGTGCTGGAGAAGAGATATGGTTTGATACGTTTATCAGAAGAGTTCTTATTTTCAAGCAAGGAGAGTCACTGATGTCTTTATTTTTGAGACCAGAGCTGTAGTGGAGTTTTGCTTGGATGAGAGATCAAAGTGAGCCTTTATAAAAATCAAGACCTCTTTAGAAAAGTCTACACTGGGGGATATTGCATGTATGAATACCTGGACTTTTCTTTCTTTGGCTAATGAACACACTCAGGGATAAAGGGGATATTAAGCATCATACATGGAGGTAGGTTATAGTGTGATCCAAACTAATTGGGATCTGGAAAAAAGATTTCATAGATCTGTTAGATAAGGAGATGTTTTGAAAATCAGATAGGATCTGGAAGACTTGGTGGGCAAGGTAGCTGTTTTTTTTTTTTTTCAATGTAAGGGTAGGGAAATATTACATGGTTTTATAAGTGTAGACTTACAGCAAACACAGATTTGGAAAATCAGCCATAGAAACACTGGTGATGACGTGGCATATATATCATGGCTCTTCCCCCAGGGCAAAGCACTTTTCTTCTTGCCTAGTTTTATATTTTCTGCTGAGTATTGGCTGTTCTGAATGGTAGCATTAGGAGCTGTAGTAGATGAGGATGTCAGGGTTACTAGATCTTATGAAGATGAGCAGTGCTTTATTAGGAGTTTGCTCATTTAGTTTAACCTTGAATCATAGACATAAAATAGGAGACCCAAAGTACCTGTAAGATACAGATGAGATAGGTACTAATGTCCCAACTTTCCATGCTTTTTGGTGGTAGGTTAAGAATTGCTACTTTGTCTGGAGAATTAGGAACTGGTCAAAACTGACTTTCTAATACTCCATCTTCTATTTTTGTCAGAAAGGTGTAACCTGTTTTACTGACACTTTGTTTTATCTGACAAGGAAATCAGTCCCCTATTTCTCTGCCTTGTAATTTCATGCAATAGGTCCTAAAAGCAAGCTCTTCAGATGCCTTCTCTGATGTCTTGCATTATACTGAAATATATGTGTGTGTGTGTGTGTGTATACTTGCCAACAAAGCAAGGGGTCCACTTTGGATCTGGTGTTTTTATGTCTCCAGAACCTATCAATGTCACTCTTTACAGAACCTGGACAAGAAAATTCCATCAGCTTCTGAGCTTCCATAGTTAGTGAACTCCTGATCCAGTACTCTTTGTGATACTATGGTATATTCCATGTGCTGAAAGAAATGTTTTGGCTTTAGGATACACTTGAGCAGAACTAGAAATTGCTTACACTAGGATTTTCCCTATTATTATGACTGCTAATTCCCATGAAATGGTTTGCACTTGGGGCAGTTAGCCTTTTCATGTACTCACCATTCCCTTTCTGTCCTCTTTTCCACATGTACTTCAGGTCCCCTGTGTCTGCCACTGTACATGAATCTAGATATTTATTTATTTATTTATTTTTAAAGTTTTATGTATTTGAAAGAGTTACACACAGAGAGAAGGAGAGGCAGAGAGAGAGAGAGAGAGAGAGAGAGAGAGTCTTCCATCTACTGGTTCACTCGCCAGATGGCCACAACGGCCAGAGCTGTGCTGACTCGAAGCCAGGAGCCAGGAGCCTCTTCCAGGTCTCCCACATGGGTGCAGGGACCCAAGGACTTGGGCCATCTTCCACTGCTTTCCCAGGCCATAGCAGAGAGCTGGATCGGAAGTGGAGCAGCCGGACTAGAACCGTTGCGCATATGGGATGCCGGCACTGCTACGCCACAGCGCCGGCCCCTAAATATTTATTGATTAACATCTCAGGTCACGGCCGGCGCCACGGCTCACTAGGCTAATCCTCCGCCTTGTGGCGCCGGCACACCAGGTTCTAGTCCCAGTCGGGGTGCCAGATTCTGTCCCGGTTGCCCCTCTTCCAGGCCAGCTCTCTGCTGTGGCCAGGGAGTGCAGTGGAGGATGGCCCAAGTGCTTGGGCCCTGCACCCCATGGGAGACCAGGATAAGTACCTGGCTCCTGCCTTCGGATCAGTGCGGTGCACCGGCCGCAGTGTGCCGGCCACGGCAGCCATTGGAGGGTGAACCAACGGCAAAGGAAGACCTTTCTCTCTGTCTCTCTCACTGTCCACTCTGCCTGTCAAACAAAACAAAACAAAAACAAAAACAAAAAAAAAAACATCTCAGGTCACACTGCCATCAAAGTTAGGGATATGTCCCTGAAGTTCATTCTCTCATTTCCTCCCAATGCATTTGATTTTCAGAGATAATATGGGGAAAAAAATAGTAACCAAACTAACAACCCGGGAAACTGGTTAGCATTTTGAAGTATGGTATGAGAAAATGTTCTAGTAACCAGAACTTTTGTATTGAATTTTGTTAACCTAAAATTTGTTGTGTGTTTGTGTTTTTCTTTTTCTCTAGGTGCAAAATGCTAGTGATTTGCTGATTAAACCCCTGGAAAATTTCCGAAAGGAGCAAATAGGCTTCACAAAGGTACATTTTCTCTGTATGTAATGTGTAAATGACTTATTGTTGGCACTATCACTCTTCATTCTAAAATGTATGATGCTTTTATATGTCAATTTGAAAGTTAACTGGGTCATATGATCCCTAGATAATTGGTTAAACGTTATTTCTCAGTGTACCTGTGAGATGGTTTTCAGGAGAGGTTAGCCTTTGTATTGGCGGAATGAGTTAAGACCTGTCTGGGTGGGCCTCCTTCAGCATATTAGTGGCCTCAGTAGAACCAAAAGACGGAGAAAGGTTGAGTAACTCTGCCTAAGTGACCTAGAATATCAATCCTTGCTTGCCTTTAGTATTTCTAATTTTTAGGCCTTTGTACCTGGGTTGGATTTCAGGCTCTCCAGACTTCAGAACATATTACTAGCTTTCCAGGAGAACCAGCTTGCAGAGGGCAGATCACAGGATTTCTAGGCCTGTAGAACCACTTAAGCGAATACCTTATAATAAATCTCTTTATATATGTATATTCCCAAAATATTTAAATCCATGTCTAATTTATTTCATACTACACATTTCTCATAAAGTTTATGAAGATGCTTCATATGCATGGGCGACAATTTTTGCACTAAAATGAAATTACCTTTCTTTAAAAAAAAAAGATTTATTTATTTGTTTGAAAGTCAGAGTTACAGAGAGGGAGAAAAAGAGATCTTCCATTCACTGATTCACTCCTCAAATGGCTGTAATGGCCAGGGCTGGGCCACACTGATGTCAGGAGCCAGGAGCTTCATCTGGGTCTCCCAAGTGGATGGCAGGGACCCAACTACTTGGGCCATCTTCTGCTGCTTTCCCAGGTGCCTGAGCAGAGAGCTGGATCAGAAGTGGAGCAACAGGGACTGAAGCTAGTGCTCATATGGGATGCCAGTATCCCAGGGAGTGGCTTAACCTGCTGTGCGATCACACTGGCCCCAATATCAATCCCTCTTGAGGCATTGTCTCATGACCTTATTATCTCACACTGAACTGTACCACCTCTTACAGCTTCAACACCAACACTCTTTGGACCAAGCTTTCAGCACATGGTCCTTTGAGGCACACACACACAACCATATCCAAACCATAGCAGAGAGAAATGAGGAACAAATTATTGAATGTGAGAGAAAAGATAATCCTTGTCATAAAGTAGCCAAGATTTAATTGCATTCATATTCTAGAGTTTTATAGAAGATAGAATTTACATGGAATGAAAACTGCAAGAGAGACATGAATTAAAGAAGGAATTCTTAAGCAAAAAATATACCATAACTTAATTCTCAGCTTATCCACAGAATGAGAAGTCAGGTTCTGAAGAGAGCACTAAGTGTCCATTCGATAAGGTTAGTATGGATGTGAACCAAGAAACTAATCTGTCATCTCTGCAAATTCTAGCATAGGGATGGGACTATGTCAGTAGGAATACCCAAGTGGGAACACTGGCCTCTGAGACTAAAGGAAACCTCAAAGATGACTCATTGTTCCTCGGGTTTCTAATGCTCATCACAGACCCCGGGGGCAGAGATAATTCCTCCTTATCAAAGGGAGGGGCTGCCTTACTAGTATTGAGGGCTCAGATGCCCCTCCCGATAGCACTTCAAGGGATGAGTCACTGTAGAGAATAGTGTGTGCAGTCCCTCTGGCTCCACGCAGACAGTAGCAACAGGGTGGCATACTACCCAGCCAAAGGGGTAGAACCAACCTGCCAAGCTGTAGGAGTGTGGTTCCCACTCTAGAGGGCCTGAAACTTGGGGCATCAAGCCAAAGAGGATTGCTCTCAAGCCTTAAGATCTCGTGGAGTTGACTTGCTAAGTTTTGGATTTACTTGGGGTCTGTCATCCCTTCCTATTTTCCTGTTTCTCCCTTTTGGAGTGAGAACATGTGTTCTGTGCCTACTCTACCACTTTTTATTGGAAGTACATCATGTGTTTGGTTTCACGACTTCATAGCAGAGAGGAATTTTGGAATGTACCTTTAGTCTCACTTTGATTTAGATGATCTTTAGATAAGACTCTATACTTCTGACTTTAGAATTGATGCTGGGATAAGTTTAAGACTTTTGAGATTCTTGGAATGGGGTGAATGTATTTTGCGTGTGAGAAGGACATGAATTTTGGAGGGCTGGGGTAGAGTAGATGTGTATGTCACCCAAAATTCATCTGTTGAAATTCTAATTCACAATGTTATTAGGAAGGAGGTGGGGCCTTTGGGAGGTAACTAGATCATGATTGTGGAGCCTTTGTGAATTACAAAATAAGTTTTTATTATATATTTCCCCTGACCCAGCTCTAGCTGAGGATTTTATATATGTTGTCATCCTTAATTCTCATAGCAAACTTGTGAGGTAGCATTTTTTAAAAATTTTATTTATTTTTATTTTCTTTTATCCCAGAAACCTTTTTAAAGGTAGGATTTTTAATTTCCATTATTCCAAGGAAGAAACTGACTCACTGGGGTTAATTATGTATCAGTATTTCTTCCTACTTCTTTGCCAGAGGGGCCAACTTATATACCTACAAAAAAGACAAACTCAATGTGAACATTATAGCTCCAGTAAACACTCCAGAATTACCCCAGTAGTATAAGTTAGGGTAAAGAAAGATCACTGAACTAGGACCAGAAAATAGCTTCTCTAGTCTCTTCCTGTATGCCTCTCAGTTCCGAATTCATCCCTCAGTAACTGCTACCACCAGGTCAAACTCGCAACCGTTCCTGCTACATGGTGGGTTAAGTTAGATCTTCCCTAGTGAGATCTTAACCCCAACCAAATATGTCTTCCTTGAATACTTTGCCTCAGTGTACTGTATAGAATTTCCTTATATCATATTGTGATTTATTAATTCTTTATAGTGTTTTCTCTCTCCTGATTGCACCTAGCCTGATACACCCAACACTGCTATTAGTTGATTTGTGATGTCAGTTGTAGTGGTAGGGGTTATTCTAAGCCTCTGCATATACAGATGCATGTTGTCATTTGAACTTCATAAGAACCATGTGCAGATTATTGTCCCCATTAAAGTATGGGGGCACTACAGGTTTAGTGAGACATAGCGTCTAAGGTCACTTAAGGGAGTAGCAGAGCTTGAATTTGAATTCAGTTTTCTTGGTTGTAAGTCTAGGACTCATTTTATTTTATAAGAGATACCAATTCTCTCTGAGCCTTAGTATTCTCAAGAAGAATAGAAAATTGCTAATCTAATCTTCTGCTAGTTTGAGATTCTAAGGTTAATTAACTAAATGTATATCTAGTGAATACCAGAAATTGCCTACTCAGACTACTGTGTACTAAATATGCTTTGGATTTTTATGGGATAATGTAAAATATCACATTAACATGATATATATTGATTATATGTTGAAATGATAGTATTTTGGGTACACTGCATTAAGTAAATTACTGAAATTAATTTCACTATTTTTAAATGTGAGTACTAAGTTTTTAATTGGTTAATTGGCTTGCATCATATGTATTTCTGTTAGTTGACACTGAACTAGGCACAGTAATTACCTTTGGAAGAGCACTCCTGCCATGTCATGGGATTTGAGGCTCCAGAAACAATAGAAGGAAGTACTTTAGAAATTAAAATATACATGGTTATCAAATTAATTAAATTAGTTAACATACAAAGTTATTAGAATAGTACCTAGCAATTAATAAATGCTAAATAAGTTTTCTGTCATTATGATCATCATTACTGTTATTGTCAACAAAATAGTTTAAAATGTTCTCCTTCAAACTGTCCAGTTGATGATGGACTTACTTTGATTAAAAACTCAAAAGGATTGAATGAGATAGGAGGAGGGAGGGAGGGCTATTGAATATTTCTCAGGTGACTACTGATATTATATGAAGAAGATTCCGTGTTACTGGGTCTGCATCTCTAGTTTTGTAGGATGTGGGAGATGTCTCCTTGTCATAGAAATGAAGGAAGGGAGGGAAGGAAGAGAAATGGAGGAGCAAAATAATGCAGAGAATCCTGGAAACTAATAGGGAACACATTCTGAAGAAGTTGGTACTGATGCTCCTGCCATTTGAAATAATAAATGTCTCATGTGAAATTTGTGGAAAGATGATGGAGGACAGATGGCAGAGAATGACCTGGGATACCCAAATGATATTCAATAGTGTGTGGAAACATTTGAACCATAAGCCATGGATGGTTTCCTGGCTAAAGGCGAGTCACCCTGTAGAGATCACTTGCAGGTCAACCAAATATGTTGTCAGTTCAACCTGGTTGACTAGGTCCCAGTGGGTGGGCTTTCTCAATGTCCAGAGTCTTCAAAGACTGTTTTAAAACTGAGTCATTTCACAAAGACAACAATTCCCACAAGATTAGCCATTCTCTGATGCTTTGTGCACCAGTTTCTGTTATACAATAACTTTTAAATGGCTGTCAGATGGTTGGCTTCCCAAGCATGCAGTCATGGTATGAGATAACCTCACATGTATCATCTTCATCAAAGGTTTTTATTCAGGGGCAAATTGTTTGAGTGGAACCCCTAACTCTGTGCTAAGCCAGAGCTTTTTAGGCAAAATTTTAAAACAGAACTGTATTGGATAAAATATTTGTAGTATGACTTTTATGCTAAAATTTGAGAGTTTTTTCCTCTTTATTTAAAAATATTTATTTATTTAATTTATTTATTTGAAAATCAGGGTGACAGAGAAAAGGAGAGCCAGAGAGACCTTCTACCCACTGGTTCATGCCCCAAATTGCTGCAATGCAGGGCCAGGCCAAAGCCAGAAGCCTGGAACCCCATCCAGGTCTCCCACGTGGGTGACCTTCTGCTGCTGCTTTCCCAGGCGCTTTAGCAGGGAGCTAGGTTGGAAGTGGAGCAGCCAGGACTGGAACCAGTGTTCAAATGGGATGTTGGCATCGTAAGTGACAGCTTAACCCACTGCATCATAACGCCAGCCAATGATTTTTTTCTAATTAAGAAGGATGTGTCCTTCAATCTCTGTATGGTGGTTTGGATGTTTATGCAATGAGATGGGC